GTCTTGATGTACATGGAACTCGTCGGGACGTTGATGAACTGCTATCCTGATCACGTACTGCAATTCCGACCTCAGGTATACCGCAATGTTTTTGTGAACGTACAATACAGTGTAACTGCGAATGACATCAAATAAAGTAGTTTAACGTTTGATGACCGGAAAAATGGAAATATCAGAACAGGAGTTAAGTGTAGCTTTACAAAGACACACTACTATAAATTCATAACAGACCAATCTGGTTTAATTTTATACAATTATGAAGAGTAATTTTTATAATATATGAGATTTTCACAGCGGCGGTTATGAAGAATTTTATTTTCTGTGATACAACGCCATATTCCCTTGAAAATCAAAGACATTCAGGAAGAACATGTCGCCTCCATCTTCAAGGTCGAAGAATAAGCCAAGCAAGGGGCCAGCATGAAGCAAGTAGCAAGCAGAGCTCTTGCTTGGCTTATTCTTCGACCTTGCAGATGGAGGCGACACGTCCCCCCGAAACGTCGGCGGACTATACGACGTTATATCCCAGAAGACAGAACTCTTCAAGAGCAAGCTATTTTCATTTTCATGCTGTCAGTAATCCCATATTATTCACATTTCTGCAGCGTTGTTTGAAGAGGTCCGGACTAACGTAACCCTAAGAATGAATTCTACCGCTGTTTCGTTTCTTGGCCGCAGCTCAACGCATTACGCGAACACTACGCGGCACCATGGAGGGCTGTAATGCGAGTCTATGCGTGACGTAGGATCCTTTCGTTTTTAGAACATAAATTCAGTGACAAGCAAGAATAATTCACGTAAGACATGAGGTTATCACGGCGGTGACTATGAATATTAGTCTTCTGGGATGTGACGCAATGTAATGTGGTAGATATTTACCGACGTTCCGGGGGAAAATCCTTATACCCTAAATATGTATACACGTCTCTCCCGAACGCTGGTTAACATCTACCAGACGATATGGTGTCAGAGAGAGTAATCTTCAATATCAATTCGAGTTTTGTTTCTTGCTACGCACTAACTTCCATGTGTGCGTTAAGAAGATTAATTTTTTTATTGCTAGTGGGGTGGGACTAAGTCCCTTGTACTGCGGCCACTTCTGGCCTATTGTACCAGCCCCAGATGATAGGTGAGGGTGATTGAGGAGCAATTGGTGGAATGAAGATTGACAGGGGAAACCGAAGTACTCGGAGAAAACCTGCCCCAGCGCCTCTTTGTCCACCACAAATTCCACTTGACCAGACCCGGGATCGAACCCGAGCCGCCGCGGTGGGAAGCCAGCGACTAACCGCTTGAGTTAAGGCGCGGCCAAAGAAGATGAATTAAGAAGCGGTGTAGCAGTAGACGACTGAAAAAGTTTCGTTACTTCTGTATAATTTATTTTAAGAAAACTTTGAGAGAATAGCGGTAAAACCAGCTACTTCCATGTTAGTTTTCATTATTTTTAGTTCAGAATTACGTACAATATTATATTCCATTCTAAATATCTTAGAAAGCATTGTTACTATAATCTGTAGTGTTAAAAAGCAATATTATTATCCATATAACATCTTAACAGTCCTAAACAATTCCTAATCATATATTTAGACGTTCTCTATGTTCTACGAACGTAAGTGCAGTGATTAAAAAGGGAAACCGTTAGTGGACCCTATGAGGAAGCTGAAACACCTGAGGCGCATGCACGTTTCGAGGATGCAGTAACCAGAAGGTACAGCTGAACTGCAGTAACATGGACGGACAACGAACCCGGAGTAGAGTTAGATATTGTGCGCGATATGTGGATACCCCGGACGCTGCAACAACCAACCTGCGCACTGGCAATGACAATGGACGTATCGACAAAATTTTTTCCTTGGCACTACAGCCCCAGTGGGCCTAGGCCTACCTCCATGAACTCCGTTCACTTCGGTTTTTCTAGATCTTACGCATTCGGTAGGACTCCTTGGGCGAGTGATAAGCTCGTCGCGGGGCCTCTACCTGTAGACAAACAAAGAAAAACGCACACAAACATCCAGGACCTGACTGGGATTCGAACCCACGATCCCGGCATCCGAGCGAGCGAAGACAGTGCATGCCTTAGACCGCTCGGCTACCGTGACCGGCAATGACAAAATACTCGTGCCTAATTAAAATACTTATGTAGGAACTAATTGCCTTGATAGTGTTTATTGTTATCTTCATGAAGCATTTAAAAACTATCTACGTGGCCTTAGTTCTTTACAGAATGTAATGTTACTAAATGGTAGCTTGTGGAATAATTTCAGACTACTGACGCAAGAGTGGCATCTAATTACTGAAGTTCCGTAGAGAACGAATTCATTCTTGGATAAATTTAGGGAAGAATTAATCCAATTTTCCGCATATTGTTTTTTTTTTCCTTGGCACTACAGCCCCAGTGGGCCTAGGCCTACCTCCATGAACTTCTCCCTTCACCTCGGTTTTTCTCGATCTTACACATACGGTAGGGTTCCTTGGGTGGGTGATCAGCTCGTCGTAAGGCCTCTACCAGTACACAAACACAGAAAAACGCACACACACAAACTAAACATCCATGCCCTGAGTGGGATTCGAACCCACGATCCCGGTTTCCAAGCGAGCGAAGACAGTACATGCCTTAGACCGCTCGGCTACCGTGACCGGCATATTCTTTACCTTTTATAAATTAACAATCATTAGTATGTGTTCTCGAATGAAGTACAAATATTTTGCCAATGATTTCTTTGCGAATTGGACCACCTCGCTGACCATGGCGTTCAAATAAAAATCAGATATTGCGAAGCTAATGAAGTTAAATATAACTTATCAATGTATGGAGTCAGAAGATGTTTTCCAAGCCTGTTTGGCTAAATATTCACCACATACAAAATATTTCATGTAACATTTTTATATTGACAATATTTATATTCTGCGTCATGATTCAATTTCTTGTATGACAATCAGTATTTTTTGGAAAATCAGGGTTTACTGTTTTATCGTCATATAAATTAGTAATTTTCGTGGGATATCACTGCTATCAGCTTCATACCAAATTTTATCCAATATTCTTCTTTAAAGGTTAAGTCCATACATAGATGAAATTACTGTGGATCATCAGTGTGGGTTTCGACGTAACAGATCAACTACTGATCTTGTCTTTTGCATTCGTCAAACACTGGAGAATAAATTGGAGTACAATGAGACAGTACATCAGATATTCGTAGACTTCAAGAAAGCCTATGATTCAGCTAGGAGGGAAGTATTGTTAAATATTCTAATAGAGTTTGGGATACCCATGAAACTAGTTAGGCTGGTTAAAACGAAACGTGTGGTGAAATCCGTATAGATAACATTTGTCTGATAATTTTCCTATCCAGAATGGTCTAAAACAAGGAGATGCTATATCGCCACTGCTTTTCAACTTTGTTTTAGAATATGACATTATGAAGGTCCAGGAAAACTAGGTGGGAGTGAAATTAAATGGGACACATCAGCTGTTGTTCTAAGCTGATGATGTGCATCTACGGGTGATAATATAGATACCATAAAAAGAAACACACAGACTCTAACTGACGCTATTAATGACATTGGTCTAGAAGTAAACACAGAAAAAAATAAATACTAGTATATGTTGCTGTCTCGTCACCAAAATGCAGGGCAAAATCATGATATAAAGATAGGTACCAGATGTTTTGAAAACGTGGCACAGTTCGGATATTTGGGGGCAGCTATAACAAATCAAAACCCGATTCAGGAAGAAATTAAGAGGAGATTGAACTCGGGTAATACCATTCAGTTCAGAGCCTTTTGTCTTCTCCTCTGCTGTCTAAAACATAAAAATTAAAATACACAAAACTATAATTTTGCCTGTGGTTCTGTATGGCTCTGAAACTTGGTCTCTGACATTAAGGGAGGAACACTGACTGAGGGTGTCTGAGAACAGGGTGTTGAGGAGAATATTTGGACCGAAAAGAGATGAAGTGACAGGAGGTTGGTTAAAAGCTGCATAATGAGGAGCTTTATAACTTGTACTCTTCTCGAAGTATAATTAGAATGATCAGGTCAAGGAGGATGATGTGGGCAAGGCATGTAGCACGAATGAGGGAGAAGAGGAATGCATATAGGTTATTGGTGGGAAAGCCAGAAGGAAAGAGACCAGTGGGAAGAACAAGGCGTAGGTGGGTGGACAATATTAAAATGGATCTTAGAGAGATAGGGTGGGATGGAATGGATTGGATTGTTCTGGCTCAGGATAAGGACCAGTGGAAGGCTCTTGTAAACTCGGTAATGAAACTTCGGGTTCCATAAAATGCTGAGAAATTCTTGAGTGGCTGCATAATTGGCGGCTTCTCAAGAAGAGCTCAGCTCCATAAGTGAGTGAGTGAGTGAGTGAGTGAGTGAGTGAGTGAATGTATCTAATAGTGACATTAAAATTATTTGGATAAATTATGCCTTTTATATCAAAACAGTTCTTACTTTAAAAATGACCCTCGTATCATTGGGCCTCAACTCGGGTCCAGTACACTAAATATTTGGTACCTTATGCCAATTGAGCCCTATCCACTTCATATCCTGATTCAATTAAACATTCACATGTATAAACTGTTTTAAAATTGGCAGTCTTGATCCCTCGACCCCTATCAGTCAATATGTAGCGGAACGGTGATTTCAAGGCAAACATGAGAAATGAAATACATACTTGTAGCAAAAAACTAGCACGCTGACTTGATCGAATAGTCTGGCGAAAGTACAGGAAAGTTGAAGCCAACTACTAGCTGCATAAAATCTGTAACTGTTCTTTTTTTTTTTTGCTACCTTTTCTCCATTTTATCAACAAATAAGTAACTGGAGTAAAATTTTAAGAGAGCAATCCGTATTACAGATAATCCTGTCTGGGAAAGAATGAATGTATTACAGCGTGATGTGAATCTGTACAAATGTTAAGTGACAGTCTACTGCCCAGTTTTTGCGACGACACATACAGTGATTCTGAGAAACATGCATACTCAAATATCACCACTTACCTTCGCAGCTGAAGCCATCACCGGCGTAGCCGGGGAAGCATGTGCAGTGAAAGCTGCCCAGAGTGTTGGTGCAGTGGGCGAAAACGTCGCAAGGTCTATACTTGCACTCATTTTCATCTGCAAAATAAAATTACAACTGCAGTTCTCGCATAAGAAATTACGGTGTAACATTTGTAAGGCTGGGCAACAACTTCCGTTATTAGTCGATTCGATACATCGGCACTTCATAACACAACCGAACACTCACACAAACCAACCCCCACCTACCTCCCCGCTGTCTCCCATGCGCGCGCATATTGGCGATGTTTACAAGTTGAGAAGTCGGCCGGCCGCTATGGAAGTGTGGCAGTGCAATGTTGTCAACTTTTATTCATCTTATTGTGCACCTATTAAGTAAAATTAGTGAAATTATGGATCCTACAATGAAAATCAAGGTAAATGCTGAATTTGGGTTCGATAGCTGATGAATCACTAAACGACATTTCGTGACACCAAGCAAGTAACGTCGATTATGTTAAGGTACGGTGGCATTTGGTGTTAANCTGATGAATCACTAAACGACATTTCGTGACACCAAGCAAGTAACGTGTACGGTGGCATTTGGTGTTACTGGAGTACCGCAATATAACGACATGGGAGTCCTCGCACAACTGAAAAAGGCCTAGTGAAACAACTGTCTTCTGGTATTGGGAAGAATGAATAACTCAGTTTCAGCTGTAGAGGTTATAAGGGTTATAAGCGTATGCCTACAATGAGACGAGAAAATTAACATGTAGTGGGCACCCAAACTATATTCGAAGGGATACCTCCTGTACCTGATGATTCCAATTTAGTTAACTATAATTTAGCTTAAGGGGCACGCGGTAGCGTAGTTGGTTGAGGCACTATGCTACAAGCTGGAAGGTCGAAGGATCGAATCCCGATGAGGTGGATTTTTACAATTTACCTAACCCTTCCAGCCGCACTATAGCCCAGGGGTCGACTCGGCCTCTAACAGAAATGAGTACCAGGAATATTCCTGGGAGTAAAGGGCGGCCGGCGCGCAAGGCTGACAACCTCACCGCCATCTGTGAGCCGATTGTCTAGAAAATGTGGGAGCCTCAACATAGCACAACCCTATGGGCCTTCACGGCATGTTACCTTTACTTACCATTTTTTTACTTTTATAATTTTGCTTAATATTAGACATTACTTTCTCACTGTTTTAACGTATTGGGAAATGGTGTGAAAACAGAGAGGTGTCTTAGTAATGATTTGGTGTTTATCTCATTTCTGAAAACTAACAAGATTTATTAAGAAATTTTAAAGGAACTGTGACAGTGCAATACCTGTTTAGCAGAAATATAATTATGACAAAAATGAAGTAATTTAATCATTTTATTTAGATGATAATTAGAAAGAATAACATTAATCTTAGGTTTACTCAAGATCAGAAATGATACAAGTTGGAGATCTTACACCAGAGGAACTAATTTCGATGCCGACATTGTGATATGAGTATATAACATTAAAATCAATAACTCTGACATGAATTATTAACATTCGTTCAGTTGCTGTAACCTACTCGGTCCATTTCCAGTCCTGTGAACTTCCTGTGGTTCTACGACTACCCGGAGTAGATGCATGTAATGGCGAATCTTAATGTATTGTGGGAAAGCTTGATGTGCAATTTTGTGAACGATCATTTCAATACAGAATTCAGTTGCGACTTCCGCGTTAATGTGGAAACAAAGCACAACACAAAATTATAGGAAAAATGCGCAGTGTATATAGAGAATGTTTCGCAAAAGAACGTCCATAGCCCAGCTGCGTGCATTTGGTATCATTTTAACTCGAAAAGTTCAAATAAATATGGGCCGTATCTGCAACGGTTTGTGATGAAAATGAGAATAAGCATTCTATTGCATCTATAATGTTCACATTATTTCCATTTAATTTTAAGTTACATTATTATTAATACCATCTTCATCATCGTTGTCAGTAGCAGTAGCAGTAGCAGCAGTAGCAGTAGCAGTAGCAGTAGAAGCAGCAGTAGCTCAACACTACTTGAATTTCCTACAGAAAGAGATGCCATAGACGTTGAAAGATATTCCTCTACTAGCCAGGCAAGAGGTGTGGCAGCAGCAAGATGGCGCTCTTCCTCATTTTGGTATGCAGGTGACAACATTTCGGAATCAACAGTTTCTAGAAGGTTGAACTGGCCAAAGTAGACAGTTGCTTGGCCAGCGAGATCACCACATCTTTCGCTCCTGGACTACTTTCACTAGGGTCGCATGAAATCTCTGATGTATGCCGTCAAGTGGACATGCGGTCTGAGGCATGAACGGTCTCGCCCGCTCGAACACTGGGATTGTGGGTTCGAATTCCACACGAGGCGTGGATGCCTGTGTGCATTTATTCTGTGTTTATGTTGTTCTGTGTGTAAGTAGCGGCCTTGCGACGTCCTGATCCACCGTCCAAGAAGTCCTACGGACTATGTACACGATTAAGAAGCTGAAAAAACGGTCAAGGTTGAACAAAGGCTGTAGAGTCATAGATAGGTGGATGCCGTCAAGTTTAACAGTAGGGCTGAGATGCAGAATCGAATAATGGACTCCTGTGTTCACATCAGAAATAAACATGACTCTCAGAAGTGAGAATATTAACGTAAATGAAAATGCAATTTAGAGTACAGTGTAAACTTACTGCTACTGCTAAGACCGTGCCATACCTCGAGCGGTTAATCGCTGGCTTCCCACCGCGGCGGTCCGGGTTCGAGCGCGGGTCTGGTCAAGTGGGATTTGTGGAGGCCAAAGTGGCGTTGGGGCAGGTTTTCTCCGAGGACTTCGGTTCCCCTGCCAATCTTCATTCCACCAAATTCTCCATCATCATAATGACCATGGGCAGGTACACTAGGCCAATCAGTGGCCTACGTGCCGAGTGAACCCAGTTGGACTCCACCCCCACTATGCGAATACTGCTGTTACTACTACTACTACTACTACTACTACTAATAATAATAATAATAATAATAATGTAACCTAAAATTGAATGGATGTAATGTAAACATTACAAATGCAATAGAATACACATTCTCATTTTCTTCACAAACCGTTGCACATCGGACCCATGTATATTAGAAATTTTCGATTCAAAATGATCGAAAGATTATGTAGTTATGCTGTTGGACATCCTGTTGCGGTACATTCTGTATATCACCAAAATTAGGTGGCAGATAATATCAAAATGAGTCTCATAACATGATGAATTAAAATAAAGTATCCGGTAATCATAACAGACAGAACCCCATTTAAGAGGAGACGACAGGGGCAGTCGTCCCCGGGGGGAGGGGGTCTCCATAAAACAGAAACAGAATCCGCAGATTTTATTGAGACATTTGCTTATTTAAAATCGCGATAAATTAATTTGTATTTTAGTTATTGTAATAAGAATAAGAAATAATTTTATAACATAAATTTGTTATTGCTGATAAGAGCCTCCATTGCTTCGGTGCTCCCAACACTGCAAATGAGGCCCTGACAACGGATATGCATTATGTAAGAGGATGGACATGACTACAAACGGAAGCTTCTGAGCTGCTTCTCATGAGCAAGAGTTCGCTAGGTTCATCCACCCTAAGTAAGTACCTGACTGAAAACTTAATTGCGTTCTTGGATTCAACGCCACCTTATGACTGTGTCTGCAATTAAACAGGAATTAAGAGAGATCTACCGCATGCTTAATGAAATATTCTTGGACAGTCACATGACCGACGTTTCAGGGACCATCTTTGTCCCCATCAGTAAAATCTGACTCATCCCCGGTATGAATAATTATCGAAGAATTACAGGTCAATTAAATGTTTTCTTATTGCAAGGGAAGAGTTAATCGTAGTCATAATTATTCAGTTAATCTAAAATAAGGCATCTCACAGCTATATATTCTTTTCTCGTAAGAAATTTGGAAAGAATGGATGCTAAAATATCATTTATAAATCTTCTTGTGGATCGCGGCTGTTATGTCTACACTTTACACTTTTCGGTTCGATTTATTTGAATATTAGTGGCAAAAGTGTGGATGGAACCCGGGATTTTTTTAATATTAGACTAGTTGGGCCTGATGTAATATGAGGAGCATAATAAATGTTGCTCAAGTATGTTACAGAAGACGCAACAAGAAATTTCACAGTGTGGGACTTCTGACACTTATTAGCGAGGTAACCTGGTGGATAGTGGGCCGGTACTCCGACTGCACTGACAGGCTTTACATGGTTTTCCTCTGTCTGTCGAGGCAAATGCAGGGGGCTACTTCTAATCATGTCGCGAATGCTTCCTTCCACAGTATTTGCAATTCGCTATCATCCAGTCATGCGAGGCTATAGAGTCTTAGATGCTGACAGCGTTGTTAAATAAACTATAGAAAAAGTATAATTTGTTACACATATATTTTGAGAGCTGTCGGCACAGAGCACAATTAAACGGCGCAAGTAAGGAGCCTGAAGATAGATTGAATACGCTTCGATCATTTCATGTTTTGTTTTTCTGCAGAGATAAAGAACAGTTGCAAAGGCTAGCAATCGCTAATATTAAACGGTGTTATGTTTTAGTGGCCGTTAAAGGAAAATACCATAATGCTTTACCCAGCACATCCGATATTATTCCGGTTCTCATTTCTCTTTTTTATGTTTGCATGGATTGCCTGAAGTAACGTAAATTTGAAGCTAAGATAGTTGAATGCGTTGTATATAAAACCTGTTCCTTCGCAGCAGTGAATCGCTTTTTATAAAAGAACGGTCTTTATTAAATTATCCCCGTTAGGAGCTTAGCCAACGGTGTTAAGGCGGACAATGGCATGTAAGTTACGTAACGTAACGGTTCTACATGTGGGTGCTGTAACTTCGTACTAACCTGGAACCTCACAGCCGCACCCGCCAAACCCATCGTTGCAATGGCACTGCGAGTCCAGGCAGGCTCCATTCTGACACTTCACGCTTTCCTCTTTGCCACAGTCATCTGTAACAAAATCATGAATTAGAGTTCAGTCTATACCATTCATTAATCTGGAAAAAAAAATCATTGTCCTGTAGAGTCACAGTTTCGTAGAGAACAAAACAAATATTCAGAATTACTGAGTTTTCGGACTTTGTCCCTCATCCGGTAATCTAGAAACTAGAAGACACACCGTTTCGGGAAATGGATTTATTTCCGTCCTCAGGTGAGGGCTCCGTTGGGTCCCTTAGAAAGAACTAGTTAGTTATTGGAGAGGGTGGGTTTCCCCATGCACTTAGACCTGTATTGGTTCATTGTGCTTCCCTCTATGATTTCTACCAGTCTCTATATCCTACCGGTACTGGTGCTTACCATCAGTCCCGCCCAGCCAGCGAGACCGGCTCTACTAGCTGAGAGGTATCTATAATGCTTCCCCCATCTACCAGAGGTATTAGAGACTGCTGTTGGGCGGGAAACGTCCGTAATTTGGCTCAGTGACCTCCTTTGGAGATATGAGGTTCTTTTAC